CTCCTCCTCCTCCTCCTCCTCCTCCTCCTCTTCATCATCATCATCATCAGCAGCAGCATCAGCCTCAACCTCTCCTACCGGCCCCGAGTCCGAGTCGCGACAGTCGAAAACTTCGGCCTTCCTCGGAGCGACCTCGCTTCTGATTTGCCTCGACGCCTCGAGCCAGCCTCGGAGCGCCTCGGTTTTGGCCGCGGCGTCGGACTCGGTTTGCGGCTTTTCGGGACGAGCGGGGCTTTCAATCTGCTCACGCTTCGTGGCAAACTGGTGCTGCAAAAGAGAGGGCTCCAGCGTCACGAGGTGACGATAAGGTGGGACTACTCTTGGCGCCGGAGTCGCGGAAAGGGGAGACGATATGATTCCGTCATCCGCGTCAGCCTCGGTTCGGGAGTCTGAATTAGCGGAGACTGAGCCTTCGGACGACAACGCCTTGGCAACCATGCTCAAGTCCCCTCGGAGAGGCTGTCAGATACGCGACAGGCAAGTGACAAGTGATGAACAAACAAAAGTGCCCATCTCGCCAAGAAGAACGGCTTGTCTGCTCGCCTATTTGTCTGCATGTCTGTATGCCTGTGTGTCTGTTTGTCTGCGTTTGTCCCTTGACTGTGACGAAAAGCTTCTTCAGCCATTCAAGACGGTACAGAGTTGACGCGAATTCACGTGAAGCGAATGGACTTTTGACTGGCCAGTTGTTCGTGTAATTGATGCCTTTCATAATTTACCGAAGTTGAATGCATACCTTTCTCGAGGAAATCTCTGAAAAGTCCACTTTTTATCGCTAACCCTCAGTGTATGTGTGTGTGAGCAGGTGTATGTGTGTGTGTGCTGATGTCTATGCGCTCCCCTAAGAAGGGCATTTGTCCAGAAAATAAAAACACTTTTTCGGCAAAATGGACAATTATTGAAAGTTACCACAAGTTGGTACTTTCATTAAAGGAATAACGGGCTGAGAACCTATTTGCGATTGCTTTACTATGTTTATAACCTGCTCACATAATTATTTAATATCTGACTACTCAGATCAAGCAGTTTTATGAGTGCATAAGTAGTCTAAGCGCTTTAAGGATAAACTTCATGCCTCACAACTGCAGAGCGTATGAACAACAACACATTTGAAAGCTTTATCTAATTGTCTTTATTTGCATAAGTTCAGGCGCGAAAAAGTATTTAATCCTTTTGGATGGCAAAATGAACAAAGTTGTCGAGCTCCCTTCCATTTCGAGAGAAAGTGGTTGGCGAAAAAATTCCAAGGTCGATCTCTCCAGAAGACGACGGAAGAGTGTTCTTGATCAGATGGTTAAACTGGAACACTCTTGTTGACGTTGCCACCGAGGCAATCCCGCTCGATTCCAGTAAAAACATGCTAAATTTTCGTCCGAAATTTGACTGACATCATCATAATTGCAACCATATTCAAGCTTCCGAGTCAATAAAACTCACTGGCTCATCCACAAATGTTATATATATAAACACACATAAATAAATAAATAAATAAATATATATATATATATATATATATATATCATATTCTTATGCTTTTTGATGAGGTATAAAGC